GTAAAGGTACGGTTTTCGTTAGTTTTTAAGGCAGCCTTGATTTCTGGCCTGGAGATTTTAGTGTCCGCGTGGATACAGCAGGACGCGAAATCTGTACTAAGTTTATGGTCAAAATGAAAAAATAAAATATCCAAGAGAAGATTAAGTTACGTTCTTTCATGATGCCTATAACATAGCATCAGCAAGGAAAAACGATCACATTCTTGAAAAATATTGAAGCAACTAAGTCATCTTTAAATTATATAGACTCATCTTGAAGGGGATAGTAAGTTTTTGTCAAATAAATGGTTCAAGGGCGGAGGGTCGACGTCATGGAAACAATTAAAAAACAGGCCTTACCTGCCGGCTCCTTCATGTTCTGTGGCAGCGGCTCCTTTTCGGGTACCTGGTCCTGCTCCTCCCTCTTGTCTTCCTCATTTCGTCCGAGAACGCGATCGAATAGCGAAGCAAATGCCTCCGCCATATCCTCTTCCGTGTCACCAACTGACGTCCCTCTCGTGGCAGCAAAATGCGCCGCCTATTAGGACCTCCAGAGACTGGGTGAAGAAGGGCTCACCTAAGTTTGCTCGTCTGCAAAGGGGGCAGACGACCCTTGCCTTGCGGCCTCCCGAAACAGTTGTAATGGCTCCTCGATCCGGCCCACTTTAGCAGCCCCGAGTACAGCACAGGCCTGCTCACACGCGTCCCGCATGCGTACAGGAGCAAGCACGGTCATACACAAGCCCACATTAATTCATATATAATAAGTACCTATGCTCATTCCCTCTGCTGGTGTGTGTGTGCTCTCATAGGCCTCTAACTTTCTAATTTGGTGCAGACAATCATGAGTTCTTTTAGATTTTAGGCAACAAATAAGAAAGGAACACGTGAAATGCTCTAATTAGCCTTAAAGTGAAGACGACTTTATTCACAAAAAAAGATAAGTTGCTGGATAAGCACAAAAAACGACAATATTAGTGATAAATCATACTTTAAGAAGAAGCAATATCGATTTCGATTTATGCATACAGAAAGATGAATGCAACTTTGTGTCGGTGTGCATACAATAACATACCTCTATTTGAACGAATGCTTATACGTTGCTCCAAGGCCTATGATGCAATCAATAGGCTAATTAATGTAAAGCAAGAACACAATGTGCTTTCCTACAATTTATCGCGCGTAACTCACTTCTATATCGCTTTGGTTTCATAAGAAATCTCTTTGAACTAACATTCTGGGGAACCTGAAACTGTCAAGAATACTCTGAGCTGTATTCCCCCAATTTCCTCTAAGGCGATGAGAAAACAGGTAGACCTTACATTTGTATTAATTTTTTCCGTAGCCTTGCTTTCTCAAAAAGTATACCCATCCAGGGTGGACTGCCGTTTCGACCTCGCGTGGGTCTTAGCAACACTCCAAGGGAAACTCGAACGATGACAGTGCATCGTATAATCTCGACATGGTAACCACTACACAACATTGCCACAAGTGCCCTTGAGTCATATGGAATATGTGAATTTCAAAGAAGGCCAGGCATTTTTCCATATGACATTGCGCGATGGGCTTGTCAATGAAGCGAAGTAAAATTTACCATAGCAATTGACGGCACTACTTATTTTTTTATTCTTAAATAGATTTTCGAGACTACCAGTAAATCAGGTATATGAGATGTGTTTTTACCTTATTTTATTCATTCAAATATTAGTCCCTCATCACCTTAGACGAAATAGGATGACCACATTTCATATAGCTGATTTGCTTGAAGTTTTATAAAATCTACTTACAAACTAGAAACAAGTAATGTCATCGAATGCTATAGCAAATATAAATTTGATTTAACAACAAACCAACCACAAAATATGATATGAAAGAATGCCTGACTTTCCTTGAATTTCACACTTGCCCTGTGATTAAATGACATGGTGGCAATGCGGCATGGTTGATCACATGTCGAGATTAAACGCTTCAGTGTCAACATCCAAGTCCCATTGGGAGTGCTAATGGGACCTAGGCGAAATGAAATACACAGTCCACTATGGATGAAAAGACCTTTTGGGAAAGCAGAGCTAAGTGAAAT